CTATGGGTAGCAGTGCTGACTCTATGGGTGGCAGTGTTGAGTGTGTAGTGTTGTAAAGGACGGACTTCTAAACTTCTTTATGGCACACACTGTTTATTATCTTAATACACAGTCCCTATCACACAAAGGGGGTATATGGTCCCCTCACCCATTACCCTGAGACACAGCCTCTGGACCTTGCAGGCTATCTAATCTCCCTGCTATCCCAGCGTCCTCTGGCTGGACCTAGGGGATCTCTCCCCGACCACTGGTTACTCTGAGCCCGAGCCCTGATAAGGAGGGCTTGGTCCAGGGTCCTAGATGTCTTCGGCCGACTTGGGTCTTCGTGTAGCAGAACTGGCCAAGAGCTCTCAGTGCTCTGGCTTTATACCTGTTCGTGGCCGGGTTGTCCAATCCCAGGCCACCTTGTGGGACCCTCCGATTGGTCCTTCCCAATCTGGCGTTTGGATCCTACCTCACCCCATTTGACCCTGCCCGTTTGATTGAGCGGGAAAACCTTGTTTACGATCCGCTCTCTCACAGTTTGCGAACAGCGAGTAGTTAACACCACTACAAGTGTATGGGTGGCAGTGCTGAGTCTATGGATGGCAGTGTTGAAACTATGCTTGGCAGTGCTAAGTCTATGGTGCAATGATGAGTCTATGGTGTCTCTGTTCTTCTCGCAGGGCTGTGAATGAAACGGCGTGGACTCAGCCAATGCCCGATGTTAACATCCTGACCTTCACTATACACGAATCTAACCTTATCGTCCTCGACGCCAACGGGAACATGAAGATATGCAAACTGTGACACCATTATTCGCTCACTCACCTGTTCGCCCCCTTACCAACCAACTCGCCCACCCACTCACTGAACCACCCACTCATACACCCACCCACTCTTTCACCGACCCACTCACTCACCCACCCACTCACTCTCACACCCACCCACTCTCTCACCCACCCACTCTCTCATCCATCCGTTATCTCACCCGCTCACCGATCCACTCATCCACCCACTTTCTCAACCACTCACTCATTCACACACCCACTCATCCACCTACTTACCCACCCACTCACTCACACACTCACCTGCCCACTCCCTCACTTACCCACTCAATCACTCACCCATTCACCCGCTTACCCACCCAGGTGATAGATACGTGGTGGTGGTGAGTCTTTTGATTTTTTTTGTGTTTTGAGGTTTAACAGAATAATAACATTCAACAAAGAGTGGAATCTACGGAACGTCAATGGAGAGTCATTCAGCAGCCTTTACAGAGACACCTCAATATACAACTATGTTATCTGCCTCGCCTGGTATGCCAGAGGTTTTAGGTAATGGTGGGTGACGGGGGTGACGTATTCATTGTTCTAAAAAACAAATAAAATGTAAAAATGAAAGATGAGAAAATAAAAAAAAATTGAAAATTAGGTCAATTATGTTAATGCAGTTAATTAAGTATGATTAACTAAAAATATGCGTTTGGTGTAATTAAGAATGTTATATGATTAATGTATGTGTTAGTGTTTGTGCATGCCTAAACAGCTTTTGTTCAGCCGGATCGAGGGGGCTAAACGGGCGCGGCACGGGCTAGAGAAGAGATGGAGTGATGTGGTACAGGAGGACGTGAAGCTGAGTGGACTTGCCAATGACTGGTACCAGCGGTGTCAAGATCGGCCTCTGTGGAGGAGGCTCTTGAAGGACGCTACTGGGCAGTTGGAGGCAGTCGCCTTCCAACAACAGCAGAGGACGCTCACAACGAGTGGAGCGCCGGGTGGCTAAAGCACAGCAAGTTGGCAGTGGGGTCACAGGTGGTGCATCGGCCAGTCGTCTCAGTCAGTCGACCCGTGGCACCTGGGTCTGCCCCGTGACCTCCTGCCAGCAGGCGTTCGATACTTCACGTGGCCTCAGTGCACCTAGCCTGGCACAAGCGTCATGTAGGGGATGGTCCGGCGTCACGTACCAGATCAAAATCCCACCCCTTCCGTTGATTACCATTTCCTTGTTGTGTTGCTCTTGTTCCACTTGTCTGTTACTGTGTTACTATGTCTCTCGCATTATAGACTTTCTTTAATTTCGCCGGGACAGCTCGTCTTTTACACTGGGGGGGTGATGTAATGAGACCTTATGCTGGGGGGGTCGCCGGTTGGTGGGGAGGAACCGGAGGAACTGAGCGGAACGCGAGCTGTCCAGCAGACAAAGGAATACATACGGAGACACAATCGCTTGTCGTCGAGCTGATTTATTACAAATGTAGGAGCCAGAGGACATTCCTGTCACGCCCGAAGGTGAGCAGGGAAAGGCTCCGACTATAGCATCTGCACAGGACTGCCCTGGCCTGAAACCACATTGGGGCTCCGCAATCCTCTATTAAGCATACCTGGCAAGGCGATATTGAATAATGCTTGCTAGGAATGTTCCCGGAACACTGAGGGAGAAGCCCCTGTAGTTGCGAGTCTGTGCGGCCCCCCTTCTTAAAAAGGGCCGTCGTTCCATTTCTGCGGAATCTGTCCAATAGTCCAGACTGTTGCCATATTTGGCAGTCTGCACAAAAACACCACCTTCCCTCCGTACTTCAGCCAGCCACTCACAGGGGGTCGCTACTTCTTCCATATTTGAGGCATGGCAGCCTCAGGAGGGTCGTGCCCACTTTGCCCCACGATGTTTTCTGGGCTGAGGGATTTCCCCTCCCCGAAGATCTCAAGAAATGCTCAGCAAACCTTCAAACCTGTTGCTGGGGTCAAATATTGGATCACCTTTCTTTCACCTCAGGATGGTGCTCGGTGTAGTAGTTACTTTATTATCATTGCGGGCTATTGAAGATTTCATCTCCACAGCAACCTGCGACCAGCACTTAGTGCCGCAAGGCTCTCTGCACCTCTGAGCCTCCTCATTCATGGACATGGGATGCTGTACATATTGGGAATGGGCCTGTTGCTTTTTCTCAGCCAGCCGGAACACCTCCTTCAACCAAATGTCTCTGGGGAGGTTTAGACCGTGGTCGCAAAGCAGCTACACGAGCCACAGTCCTAAACCTCGCCCAATTCCCCTCGGCATCAAGAGTGGGGGTCGATGCCAACCCCAGCTGCAAGCGATGATTAAATTCTCGCTTGCAACTTTCATCCGTTAGCTGAGACCACGCCGCTGTGGGTTTTAATGGGGGTACTCGATGTAAACCCACCACCGGCGTGGAAGAATGGCAGGTGCATCTTACAGATGCCAAGCCAATGGCCAGTGAGCAGATCAGCTCCACGTTTGGTCCTGGTGTCAAGGGCATGGGCCTGCATCCCCTGTTCCATCACGATGTAGTCCAGCAGATGTTCTTGCTTGGACCGGGCATGCATCTATGTTTTGTGGATGATGCGCCAATGACGGAACAGCATGGTTGGTAATTACAAGCCCATGGGCTGCACACAACCAGACGTCACAAGCATGGCTCTAAAATTTAAAACATATTCCTATTTTTCTTACCTTTGATACTGGCAGGGACTTGTCTACTTACGGACATTCTACTTATGTTGATTAACTGTGATCCATTGTAACATATTATGTTAAATCTTGACTTAAAGCTTTCGTTTCTGCAGGAATTTATATTCTTGGGTCTTTCGGTAAAGTCACGTAGAGAGGTTCAAATTAGTAAAAAAGTTAAATCAACAAAAAACTACGACGTTTCGATCACAACACAAGCGATCGTCATCGATCTATCTACGTGACTTTACTGAAAGACCCAAAGAATATTGTCACAATGTCTCACCAGTGTCAAATCAGAGAACGCCAAAAGGCAAACAGTCCAAAGACCATGCAAGTATCAGAGCATTTATAGCTCTGCGTGAGCAGCTACATCATGGGATGCCTTTCTTGCCAGTATCAAAAGTATGAAAAATAGGATTACGTTTTTGCCCTCTCTGGCAATAAAACAGCAGTTGTGTTCAGATGTTCAAACACCAAATAGATTAACCTTTGGCAAGGGATCAAGTACAGTAAAACCTTGGGTTGCGAGCATAATTCGTTCCGGAAACGTGTTTGTAATCCAAAGCACTCGTATATCAGTTGTGATCACGTGACGCTCGGCAGACAAAGCGTATACACGTGCTACTCGTATTGCAAGACCTCGCTCGTTTATCAAATTAATATTTATTTTAAAATTTTGCTCGTCTTGCAAAACACTCACTGACCAAGTTACTCGCAATCCAAGGTTTTACTGTACTGCATTAACCACACAAAGTATTTGTGGTGAAAATGCAAACAAACATGCTCTGATAATACATAAGCATCGTCTTTTAAACTGGAATTTTTGCACAGCGTTGGTGCACGACGCTTCTGTTTCTGGAAGACTTTGCAGTTTTTTCCTGGATTTTTCTGTTTGAGCATGGTCACTTTAAGATGTTTTCTTGTTCATGTTTTAGTTTGTTGCGGTTGCACCCGATTCAAGAGCCGAATGGCTCACAAGGCTATACCAAATAAATGAAACTGAAAACTGAAACACCACTGTATATTCACGCGAAGATATATAACCCCAAAGTAAAAACCTCTAGTACGGAAAACAAACAAGACAGGACAGAACAAGGGGGGGGGGGGGTGATCTCCACCTAAACAGAAAACGAATACCTTCATAGGCTCCAACAAGGAACCCAAACACCGAGCCAGTTTAGTCATCACTTAACATTTCCCAGTCACGCAATCCATTCATCATCATTTACTGTCAGAATAATAATTCTCATACTCTTCTTTCGGTAAAGTCACGTAGGTATAAAATAAATCACGACGTTTCGATCGCAACACAAGCAATCATCATCAGGTGGGAAAACCACAGCAAGACATTTTTTTGCTCGGTTTTTGGGCTCCTTGTTGGAGCCGGCAAAAAAAATAATTGCTGTGCTTTTCCCACCTGATGATTGCTTGTGTTGCCATCGTAACTTCGTGATTTAATTTAATTTATTTTATACCTACGTGACTTTACCGAAAGAGCCAAAGAGTATGGATCCCTGTAGTCATGAAAACTTAAAATCTAGATTGAATAATTGATTATGTCCATCACTCATTAACCCCATTCATTCAATCCATTAATCATTTACCGCCATCAATTTCGCTTCCACCGAATTCACACATCACCACCACCACCACCACCACAGATTACCCACCCATTGCTTCCTCACATCTATTTCATTCACCTCATCTAACCACCATTATCACATCCATACTTACTAATTGTTAATAGTGCGTAAAGCGCCTTGAGTAAGGGGGCAATATAAATTCCTTTGAAGAAAAGATGAGAGTGTGCAACACTTAAAAGGGGACCAGGACCTTATTTATTTAAACCAAATATAAAACCACCAGCTCTATACGGATACTTACACGCTGGAGGGGGTGGGGAAACAACAACAGCATCATCATGATCATCATCATCATCATAAAGACAACAAAATAAAAAACTAAACCTTCCATCCATTTTTGCACCGAGGGGAAACGGGGCGATGTAGATCGGCGGTGGTACAGAGGGAGGCCGAGCCAAAAAAGAATCCCCGTTCATCCCAAACCTATAGCGGCCCCTAGCCACCATGCTTACTCAGACTGGTCCCATTGACGAGGATGGGGGGTTCAGCACAGGTCATAGAGAGGGGGGGATGTGGGGGGGGAAGTGGGGGGAGGAGATGGGGGGAGTGTGTGGGGGGGTTCAGCAAAGGTCATAGAAAGGGGAGATGTGGGGGGGGGAAGTGAGGGGATGGAGAGATATGTGGGGGATATGGCGGAGGATGAGGGGAGGCCCAGGATCGGTTCAGATAATCGCTGCCACTCCTGGTGTTTAAGAGGCCGTGAACGCTACGAACCCGGCGACCCGAGTTCGTAGCGTAGCGGTAACCACCGCGCCACCGCTCCATCCACACAATAAACAAAGATCCCCCCCCGTGTCGCCTTAACAGACTGTTGGGGCAGGTGCTGTTAGCGAGTAGTAGCACCTATGAACGCTACCACTGGCACACGAGGGGGTGGGTGGCCAGCACCACGCTCGGCCGCCTTTGTCTCCCTAGTGAGGGTATACACACACTGCACAAGGTATTCATTTGAGGCCGAGTCGACCTAGGTGAGGCCCAGGACCGACTCAGACATTCGTCGCTGGTGCTGGCCGTGAGCGGGAATCGAACCCGGATTATTGTGTTCGTAGCGTCGCAGCGTAGGGCTCCTACACTACCGCTCCCCACACACACACAGAGACACACACACACAGGTCCTTCTCCTCTGTAATACAACCAGAGATTAATTAAAAGCTAACACACGTGCATAACTATTTAGTTTTAACAAGAGCTTTTTAAAACAACGTTGCTAGGGAAGCACAAACAAATTAAGACGCCAAACACTTTGTAAATATAAGGTAAAAAGACAAATTACAAAAATAAAGATTTGAATACAATAAAGATTTAGGACGAGGCAATAATTGGCCGTGCCGAGTCCTTAACTTAGCACCGCAAGGCGAGCCTGGGTTCAAGCCCTGGGCGTCTCCCTCTCTCTCTCACAGGGGGTTCATAATGGTTGTGTCGGAGACACGAGGAAGAAATCCCAGGCACACACAGAGGGTGTTTGAATATTACAGCCAGGGATCTGCTTTTCTAACAACACACAAACAAAGATCCCCCGTACAGCCTGTGACAGACTGTTTGGGGCAAGTGCTGTTGAGTAGCGTGCAGCAGTAGCACCTATGAAGGCCATCACTGTGGCACACGAGGAGGAGGTGTGGCCAACACCACGCCCGTTCGGCCGGCTTTGTCTCCCCCAGCGACGATGTTTACGACACGCCACTGCACGCGACACTGAGTTGAGGCGGAGTCGACCTAGGGGAGGCCCAGGACCAGTTGAGATAATCGTCGCTTACTGGTGTTTGGTGGCCGTGAGCGGGAATCAAACCCTGGTCTCTGCCGGATTCGGAGCGCAGCGTGGCGCTAACCACTGCGCCACCGCTCAGCATAACTATTTTTATTTTACCAGGTAAGGCTCCACTAAGCTACGTAGCTATTTTACAGCGAGCGACCTGGCTACCACAAATGATAGCTCAACAACAAAGTGGCTTATCGTCACTTGGAAATGTATACGCGGCAGCCAATTACACTCAGAACGTGTGACGTCAATATTTTATACGGAGGGAAAAACTCGGAGAAAATATCTCTGCGGCAATGGGGAAAGAGACCGCAGACTCCAAATACAGTGGCAGGCGTCGTCAGAGTTCGGGATTGAACCCACGACCTCCTGTATACTAGGCGAGGTAGTGAACATCTACCTAGCTACCGCGATGATGATGAGAGAGAGACACGCAATTCCAAATATACAGTGGCAGGCATTGTCAGCGTCGGGCGAGGGAGATAACATCTCTCCACCCACCCACCCACTCACACTCGAACCGATGACCAAGGCTCCGTAGGTGCCGTGGGTGGGCGCACCGCCCGGCCGTGCTATCGCCGAGCCCGCGCTGTTCTCAGCCTCAGAGCTCCTAGCCTGGGTTCGACACCGGCGCCGGGCTGGGTGATGGTAGAGGCTGAACCTGTGGTTGGGGAGGGGGTGCGCAGAAAGGGGGGCGGGGGAGGATGAGGTGGTGGTCATGATGATGATGTTGGTAATGGTGATGTACGTATGTTGAACTTCTTTCGCACCATGCTAATCGGAGGGCGGTGATGGCGATGATGTTGGTAATGGTGGTGATGATGGTGGTGATGAAGGTCATGATGGTTTTTCCATGGACGTACCAGAGGAATTTCGATCTGGTACAGATACAACGAGAGAATGATCGATGCCCAGGTGAGGTCGAGGGATGGCTCCCTATTGGTCAACCACGTTATGTATGCTGATGATCGGGTGATTGCTGCTCACTCAGAGGAGTTGGAGGCGCTGCTGCTCAACCTGGAGTGTGCCACTAAGAGGTGGGGCCTTACCATCAGCCCCACCAAAACTAAGCACCTGCCCGGGTAATTTGTGCGACCAAACACTCCATCCCCTCAGCTCCCGATTGGTGATGGAGCAGTTGTGGAGAGAGTGGTTTCCCAAACCTGGCAGTGTGCTTATGACCAGTTTCGAATCAGTCGGGTGGCATTTAACTTTTCATCGGCTGCACAATGCTGTGTGGAAGCAATCTGGTCTGTCGCTCCACACGAAGCTTCGGGTCTTCTTGACCATGGTTATGTGAATCGTGGATCCCTCTAATGGAACATCTGCGCCGGTTATAAACAATCAGGCTGGCATGCCTACGATCCATCCTGGGTTTAACCAGGCTGGATTGTGCGAGCAGCTCACAAATCCTCGAGATGAAAGATCTCGACACATTACCATCAGTGAGCTCCTCCGGCAGGCAAGGCTCCGCTGGCTGGGTCATTTAGCCCGCATGCCCAGCCACCACGTGCCCAAGCAGCCGAGAGGGAGCTAAATGGGCACGGCACAGGCTAGAGAAGAGATGGAGTGATGTGGTGAGTGAACTTGGCGAAGATTGGTACCAGCGGTGTCAAGATCGTCCTCTGTAAAGGAGGCTCGTAAAGGACACGACCGGGCAGTTTGAGGCAGTCGCCCTCCAACAACGGAGGGCAGAATGACGCTGCTCACAACAACGAGCGGAGCACTGGGCAGCTAAAACACAGCAAGTTGGCACGGTAAGGGGCACAGGTGGTGCATCGGCCAGTCATTTCAGTCAACCCATGGCACCTGGGTCTGTCCCGTGACCTCCTGCACCTAGCCTGGCACAACAGTCAACCCATGGCACCTGGGTCTGTCCCGTGACCTCCTGCACCTAGCCTGGCACAACAGTCAACCCATGGCACCTGGGTCTGTCCCGTGACCTCCTGCCAGCGGACGTTCGACACTTTACGTGGCCTTAAATTGCCTTTATAGACTGGCACAAGCTCATTGGTGATGTCACCGCCACTTAGTAGCAAATGGTGGTTGTTGTTGTTGGTGGTGATGACGCTGATGCACACGGAGTCTCAACGCCACCACCTCTGGTACCTCCACACTGTTAGCGAGCGCCTATTTAAGGTAGGTGTGTCTGTGTGTGCACACGTGTGTGTACGTGTACACACCAATACCCGTCATTCGCCAATTAGTGACGGTGACATCCCCACGGGCGCCTGTGCCAGGCCAGGTGCACGCACTTTGGCACCACGTGAAGTACCAAAGGCTCGCTGCTGACAGGTCAAAAAACAGACCCAGCAGGTGCCATGAGTTGACTGTTGTGCCAGGCTAGGTGCAGGAGGTCACGGGACAGACCCAGAGGCTGTGGGTTGACTGAGATGACTGGCCGATGCACCACCTGGGCCCCCTACTGTGCCAACTTGCTGCATTTTTATCCGCCCGGCGCTTCGCTCATTGTGAGCAGCGTTACTCCTCTGCTCTACGCTGTTGTTGGAAGGCAACTACCCCCAATTGCCCAGTAGCCTCACGGTGCACCTAGTCTGGCACTGCCCAGTAGCGTCCTTCACGAGCCTCCTCCGCAGAAGCTGATCTTAACACCGCTGGTACCGGTCATGCCAAAGTTCACTCCACTCCAAATCCTCCTGTACCGCATCAGCTCCATCTCTTCTCCAGCCCGTGTTGTGCTCATTTAGCCGCCTCTATCTGGCCAAAAGAAGCTGATTAAGCATGGGATGGCCGGGCATGAGTGCTACATGACCCAGCCAACGCAGCCTCGGAGGAGCTCACCAATGGGAATGTGTCAAGATCTCTGAGGATTTGTGAGCTCCTCACACAATCCAGCCTGCAGGTTAAACCCGGGATGGATTGTAGGCAGTCCAGCCTGAATGTTTCTAACTGGCGCGGATGTTCCATTCGAGGAGTCCACGTTTCACAACCATAGGGAAGGGAGGGAATGACCGTGGCAGAGAAAACCCGAAACTTCGTATGGAGCGACAGACCAGGTAGCTTCCACACAGCAGCGTCATGCAGCCACCACCACCTCCACTACCTCCAACGCCACCACATCCGCCACCTCCATCGCCACTACCGCCACTCACCGGTGCGTGTCGTCCTCCTCTTAGGTGGCGACATCTCTTCTCCTCGCTCCTCCTCAACCACCGCCTGCCTCTTCACCTTCGGCCTGCCCCTCGCTGCCCCCGCTGCTGCCCCTTGAGCAGCAGCAGCAGCAGGAGTCGGACTTGTCGATGCTTCCAAAATGACCTGGCTCCACCTTCTCCTCTTGGCTCTGTTACCGCCCTCCCCCTCCTCTTCCACCTCCTCTGCTCCTCCCCGCGTGTTCCTGGCCATCTTGGCTTTGCCGCCAGCGCTACCTTGCCCAGCGGGTCGCTTGGTGCGGCCCGGCTGTCTGGGGCGCGGCTGAGCAGCAGCTGCTGCTGCTGATGGTGATGCTGCTGCTGATGGTGATGCTGGTGGTGGTGGTGATGCTGCTGGTGGTGGTGATGTCTCCCTCAATGTCTTCATGCGGAGGCTCAACGCCGGCACCTCTGCTCACGGCACACAGATGTCGGGCCCCCAACTCCTCCGTTAGCGAGCGCCTATTAAAGGTAGGTGTCTGCGTGTGTGGAGGCTCAACCAGTCTTGGGCTTCCCCTGGGTCGACTCAGCCTCCAGTGAATTAGCTGGCACAGTGGTGTGTAAGTAAACATCGCTACTGGGGAGAGACAAAGGCGGCCGGGAATGTTGGTGTTGGCCACCAACTCGCAACTAACAGGAACCTGCCCCAACAACCCATGTAGAAGGCTACTGACCAAATCACTCTCCCAGTGACACACACCCACCCACCCTCTGCTAACTCACCCACTAACACACTCACTCATCCACCCACCCACTAACTCACACACCCACCCACTAACTCACACACCCACCGCGAACTAACTCACCCACTGACCCACCCACCCACCCTCCGCTAACTAACTCACCCACCCAGTGACACACTCACCCACCCACCCACCCACCGACTCACCCACTCACTGACACACTTACTCATTCACCAAATCACTAACTCACCTACACACTTACACATTTACTCACCCACCCACCCACTCACCCATTGACTCACCCACCCACCCACCGACTCACCCACTCACTGACACACTTACTCATTCACCGACTCACTAACCCACCCACCCACCTACACACTGACACACTCACTCACACGCTCACCCACCCACCCACTCACCCACCCACCCACTCACCCACCCACCCACCGACTCACCCACTCACTGACACACTAACTCATTCACCGACTCACTAACTCACCCACCCACCTACACACTGACACATTCACTCACCCACCCACCCACTCACCCATTGACTCACCCACCCACCGACTCACTCACTCACTGACACACTTACTTATTCACCGACTCACTAAACCACCCACCCACCTACACACTGACACACTAACTCACACACTCACCCACCCATCGCTAACCAACTCACCGGCGCTCTTCTTCTCGCCCACAAAGGGAGTGCGGATCTCTGCGATTGGGCTCAGGCCCGGGCGACGGGAAACACGGGGTGGAGACTTCTGGACATTCACCACTCCTCCACTTGTCTCCAGAGAGCAGTCCCGGGGGGTTTCAGCCTTTGGACAGGGAGACATGGAGAGTGTGGGGGGACATTGGTGGGAGTAGTGATGATGGTGGTGGCAGTGGTGATGATGGTGGTGGCAGTCGTGATGGTGGTGATGATGATGGTTGTGATGTTGATAGTGAAGACGCTGGTGATGTTGGCGATGGTTGTGATGTTGATTCTGATGTGGATGTTGACGATGGTTGTGATGTTGATAGTGATGATGGTTGCGATGTTGATAGTGATGATGGTTGTGATGTTGATAGTGATAATGGATGTGATATTGATGATGGTCGTGATGGTGCCGATGGTTGTGCTATTGGCGATGATTTGTGGTTGTGATGTTGATGGTTGCGATGATGATGGTACTGATAGTTGTAATGTTAATGGCTGTGATGCTCATGATGGTTGTGATGTTGATAGTGATGATGGTTGTGATGTTGATGATGATGGTTGTAATGTTGATGATGGTTGTGATATTCATGATGGTATTGGTGTTGATTGACGATGGTTGTGAAGCCGACAGTGTGGATGTTGATGATGTTGGTGACGATGCTAGTACGGATGTAGCTGGTGGTGGTGATGTTGCTGATGGTTGTGATGTTGATAGTGATGATGGTTGTGATGCTGATGATTGTGATGTTGATGTTGTTCATGATGATGGAGATTATGTTGATGTTCACATTTGAGATGGTGTTGATGATGTTGTTCATGATGAACGAGATGATGTTAATGTTTACGATGGAGGTGATGTTGGCCATGATGAAGATGGTGATGTTGATGAAGATGTTTATCATGATGGAGACCATGATTTTGATGATGACGGCAATGGTGATGTTGTTCATGATGGAGATGATGTGGACGATGACGATCTTGATGTTGTTTGTGATTAAGACAATGATGATGACGACGATGATGATTTTGATCACGATGATGGAGACAACGTTGATGTTGTTCATGATGATGGGGACAATGATTATAGTGGTGATGATGTTGTTAAGGTTGTTGATGATGTTGATATCATCTCACCTGCTTCGCCCTCAGCCGTCCCGCCCTCATGGTCTTCACCTTCACGGCCGGCTCCGAGGGAACTTGCACGAATTCTCTCTCGCTCGCATGTTGAGCCGCGGCTTCCGTGGATTTCTCCCTCCTAGACATTCTGGTCGAGGGAATTTCCTCGGGTGTCTTCGAGCGGCCCCGCGTTGCTCTCTTAGCAGCCAGCGGCAGAGGTGGAACTTCTGAGATGGCTTCCGCAGATCTCCCCCTGCGAGACCTCGTCTCAGAAGGAACTTTTACAATTTCTACTTTGCTAATATCTTGAGCAGTGGCTTCCGCAGATTTCCCCCTCTTAGATCTCGTCTCAGAAGGAACTTTTACAATTTCTACTTTGCTAATATCTTGAGCAGTGGCTTCCTCAGATCTACCCCTCCTAGACCTCGTCTCAGAAGGAACTTTTACAATTTCTACTTTGCTAATATCTTGAGCAGGGGCTTCCGCAGATTTTCCTCTGCGAGACCTCTTTTCAGAGGGAACTTCCACAATTTCTGCCTCGCTAACATCTTGGGCAGGGGCTTCCGCAGATTTTCCTCCACCAGAACTCTCCTCAGAGGGAACTTCCACGAGGTTTACCTCGCTAATATCTTGAGCAGGGGCTTCCGCAGATCTCCCCCTCTTAGACCTCGTCTCAGAAGGAACTTCAACAACTTCTACTTTGCTAATATCTTGAGGAGGGGCTTCCGCAGATTTCCCCCTCTTAGACCTCGTCTCAGAAGGAACTTTCACAATTTCTACTTTGCTAATATCTTGAGCAGTGGCTTCCGCAGATTTCCCCCTCTTAGACCTCGTCTCAGAAGGAACTTTAACAATTTCTACTTTGCTAATATCTTGAGCAGGGGCTTCCTCAGATTTCCCCCTGCGAGATCTCTTCTGAGATGTAACTTCAACGATTTTTACGTCGTTCACATCTTGAGCCGGGGCGTCCGCAGATGTCCCCCTGCGAGACCTCTTTTCAGAGGGAACTTCCACAATTTCTGCCTCGCTAACATCTTGGGCAGGGGCTTCCGCAGATTTCCCCCTCCTAGATCTCTTCTGAGAGGGAACTTCCACAACTTTTACCTCGCTAATATCTTGAGCAGGAGTTTCCTCAGATCTCCCCCTCATAGACCTCGTCTCAGAAGGAACTTTCACAATTTCTACTTTGCTAATATCTTGAGTAGGGGCTTCCGCAGATTTTCCTCCACCAGAACTCTCCTCAGAGGGAACTTCCACGAGGTTTACCTCACTAATATCTTGAGCAGGCGTTTCCGCAGATTTCCCCCTCCTAGATCTCTTCTGAGAGGGAACTTCCACAACTTCTACCTCGCTAATATCTTGAGCAGGAGTTTCCGCAGATTTCCCCCTCATAGACCTCGTCTCAAGGGGAACTTCAACAACTTCTACTTTGATAATATCTTGAGCCGGGGCATCCGCAGATTTCCCCCTGCGAGATCTCTTCTGAGATGTAACTTCAACGATTTTTACGTCGTTCACATCTTGAGCAGGGGCTTCCGCAGATTTTCCTCTGCGAGAACTCTTCTCAGAGGGAACTTCCACATCTTCTGCCTCGCTAACATCTTGGGCAGGGGCTTCCGCAGATTTCCCCCTGCGAGATCTCTTCTTAGAGGGAATTTCCACAACGTTTACCTCGTTAATATCTTGGGCAGGGGCTTCTGCAGATTTCCCTCCGCCAGATCTCTCCTCAGAGGGAACTTCCACAACTTCTACTTTGCTAATATCTTGAGTAGGGGCTTCCGTAAATTTCACCCTGCGAGATTTATTCTGAGAGGGAACCTCCACAACTTCTACTTCGCTAATATCTTGGGCAGGGGCTTGCGCAGATTTCCCCCTGCGAGATTTATTCTGAGAGGGAACCTCCACGCTTTTTACCTCATTCACATCTTCAGCAAGGGCGTCCGCAGATTTCCCCCTGCGAGATCTCTTCTCAGAGGGAACGTTCACGATTTCTGCTTCGTTAACATCTTGGGCTGGGGCTTCCGCAGATTTCCCTCCGCCAGATCTCTCTTCAGAGGGAACTTCCACCATTTTTATCTCGCTAATATCTTGAGCAGGAGCTTCCGCAGATTTCCCCCTGCGAGTTCTCTTCTCAGAGGGAACGTTCACGATTTCTGCTTCGTTAACATGTTGGGCAGGGGCTTCCGCAGATTTCACTCCGCCAGATCTCTCTTCAGAGGGAACTTCCACCATTTTTACCTCGCTAATATCTTGAGCAGGGGCTTCCGCAGATTTCCCCCTGCGAGATCTCTTCTTAGAGGGAACTTCCACGCTTTTTACCTCATTCACATCTTCAGCAAGGGCTTCCGCAGATTTCCCCCTGCGAGTTCTCTTCTCAGAGGGAACGTTCACGATTTCTGCTTCGTTAACATCTTGGGCAGGGGCTTCCGCAGATTTCCCTCCGCCAGATCTCTCTTCAGAGGGAACTTCCACCATTTTTACCTCGCTAATATCTTGGCTAGGGGCTTCTGCAGATTTCCCCCTGCGAGATCTCTTCTTAGAGGGAACTTCCACGCTTTTTACCTCATTCACATCTTCAGCAAGGGCTTCCGCAGATTTCCCCCTGCGAGTTCTCTTCTCAGAGGGAACGTTCACAATTTCTGCTCCGTTAACATCTTGGGCAGAGGCTTCCGCAGATTTTACTCCGCCAGATCTCTCTTCAGAGGGAACTTCCACCATTTTTACCTCGCTAATATCTTGGCTAGGGGCTTCCGCAGATTTCCCCCTGCGAGATCTCTTCTCAGAGGGAACGTTCATGATTTCTGCTTCGTTAACATCTTGGGCAGGGGCTTCCGCAGATTTCACTCCGCCAGATTTCTCTTCTGATGGAACTTCCACCATTTTTACCTCGCTAATATCTTGAGCAGGGGCTTCCGCAGATTTCCCCCTGCGAGATCTCTTCTCAGAGGGAACGTTCACGATTTCTGCTTCGTTAACATCTTGGGCAGAGGCTTCCGCAGATTTTACTCCGCCAGATCTCTCTTCAGAGGGAACTTCCACCATTTTTACCTCGCTAATATCTTGGCTAGGGGCTTCCGCAGATTTCCCCCTGCGAGATCTTTTCTGAGAGGGAACTTCCATAATTCCTACTTGGCTGCCATCCTCCCCGAGCGAAAACATCTCCGTCACGGCCCCAGCGCCGACCGCGAAATCCGTCTCTGTATTCGCTTCCAAGGAAATCCGCGGAAGCGAAGAGGGGTCCACCGAGGCTCCTACTGCCACCCACCACTCCGTCGCGACCGCATCAGGCCGTGGAGCGAAACGACGGACGCCCGGTCGGTCCGACGACGCGGGAGGAGAGACGGGACGGAGGGCCCGGCGGAGGTTGCCATCGGAACTCAGGGGAGATACGGTCATCTCACCTGGGGAGGTGCGGGGGAGAGGGTTCATGGTGAGTTGTCGTGCATGTGCTGCACTACGAACACGGTGACACACGAGTTTAATTCCCGCTCACGGCCAACACCAGTGACAATGGACTGAAACGGTCTTGGGCCTCCCCTAGGTCGACTCAGCCTCAAATGTGTGTGTATAGTGATGTCTCGATTTAAAGCTTTCGTGACTGCAGGGATTCGAGGCGACACCTGAGGACGGCTGCTTGCGTTGTGGCCGCAACGTCGTGAGAATTATTGTATTATGTTTTATTTTTATTATTTTATTACTTCCCTTCTACGTGACTTCACCGAAAGAACCAAGAAGATATAGTGATGTCGTGGATAGTGTAGTGTATAGTGGTGTAGTGTATCGTGGTGTATGGTACAGTAGTGTAGTGTACAGTGTACTATGTTTAGTGTATCGTAACGTTGTGCATATAGTGCAGTATGTATGTTGAACTTCATTCGCGACTACGAAGTGTAGTGTATAGCGGTGTAGTGTATAGTGGTGTAGTGTATAGCGGTGTAGTGTAGTGTGTAGTGTATAGTAGTGTAGTGTATAGTGGTGTAGTGCAGTGTATAGCGGTGTAGTGTATAGTGGTGTAATGTGTAGTGGTGTAGTGTAGTGTGTAGTGTATAGTAGTGTAATGTATAGTAGTGTAGTGTATAGTGGTGTAGTGTATAGCGGTGTAGTGTATAGCGGTGTAGTGTATAGCGGTGTAGTGTATAGCGGTGTGGTGTATAGTGGTGTAGTGTAGTGTGTAGTGTATAGTAGTGTAATCTATAGTAGTGTAGTGTATAGTAGTGTAATGTATAGTAGTGTAGTTTATACTGGTAGGAACGAAGTGGACCAGACCATCAATAGATTATATCGTCCGTCCGTCCGTCCGTCCGTCCGACTGTCCGTCCGTCCGTCCGTCCGTCCGTCCGTCCGTCCGTCCGTCCGTCCGTCCGTGGGAGGGGTTCGCATTTCAGTGATTGGGGGGGTTATTGATCACGAGGGAGTGATTGGGGGGGTTATTGATCACGAGCGAGTGATTGGGGAGGTTATTGATCACGAGTGATTGGGGGGGTTATTGATCACGAGTGATTGGGGGGGTTATTGATCACGAGCGAGTGATTGGGGGGGTTATTGATCACGAGCGAGTGATTGGGGAGGTTATTGATCACGAGTGATTGGGGGGTTATTGATCACGAGTGATTGGGGGGGTTATTGATCACGAGTGATTGGGGGGGTTATTGATCACGAGCGAGTGATTGGGGGAGGTTATTGATCACGAGCGAGTGATTGGGGGGTTATTGATCACGAGCGAGTGATTGGGGGGGTTATTGATCACGAGCGAGTGATTGGGGGGTTATTGATCACGAGCGAGTGATTGGGGGGTTATTGATCACGAGGCGATGTGATTGGGGGGTATATTGATCACGAGCGAGTGATTGTGGAGGGGTTATTGATCACGAGCGAGTGATTGGGGGGGTTATTGATCACGAAGGGAGTGAGTTAGGGGTGTTTAGTGATCACGAGGTGCTTGGGGGGTTATTGAATCACGAGCCGAGTGATTGGGGAGGTATTGACACGAGTGATTGAGGGGTTATCGATCACGAGTGATTGGGGGGGGTTATTGATCACGAGTGATGGGGGGGTTATTGATCATGATGCGAGTTGATTGGGGGAGGTTATTGATCACGAGCGAGTGGATGGGGGGGTTAATTGATCACGAAGCGAGGGATTGGGGGGTTATTGATCACGAGCGAGTGATGGGGGGGTTATTGATCACGGAGCGAGTGATTGGGGGGGGGTTATTGATCACGAACGAGTGTTGGGGGGGTTGATCCGAGCGGTGATTGGGGGTATTGATCACGAGCGATGATTGGGAGTTATTGATCACGATCGAGTGATTGGGGGGGTTTATTGAACACGAGCGAGTGATTGGGGGGTTATTGATCACGAGCGAGTGATTGGGGAGGTTATTGATCACGAGCGAGTGATTGGGGGGGTTATTGATCACGAGCGAGTGATTGGGGGGGTTATTGATCACGAGCAAGTGATTGGGGAGGTTATTGATCACGAGTGATTGGGGGGTTATTGATCACGAGTGATTGGGGGGTTATCGATCACGAGTGATTGGGGGGTTATCGATCACGAGTGCTTGGGGGGGTTATTGATCACGAGCGAGTGATTGGGGGGGTTATTGATCACGAGCGACTGATTGGGGAGGTTATTGATCACGAGCGAGTGATTGGGGGGTTATTGATCACGAGCGAGTGATTGGGGAGGTTATTGATCACGAGCGAGTGATTGGGGAGGTTATTGATCACGAGTGATTGGGGGGTTATTGATCACGAGTGATTGGGGAGTATATTGATCACGAGTGATTCTGGGGGTTATTGATCACAAGTGATTGGGGGGGTTATTGATCACGAGCGAGTGATTGGGGGGGTTATTGATCACGAGCGAGTGATTGGGGGGGTTATTGATCACGAGCGAGTGATTGGGGGGTTATTGATCACGAGCGAGTGATTGGGGGGTTATTGATCACGAGCGAGTGATTGGGGGGGTTATTGATCACGAGGGAGTGATTGGGGGGGTTATTGATCACGAGCGAGTGATTGGGGGGGTTATTGATCACGAGCGAGTGATTGGGGGGGTTATTGATCACGAGCGAGTGATTGGGGGGGGTTATTGATCACGAGCGAGTGATTGGGGGGGTTATTGATCACGAGCGAGTGATTGGGGGGGGTTATTGATCACGAGAGAGTGATTGGGGGGGTTATTGATCACGAGCGAGTGATTGGGGGGATTATTGATCACGAGCGAGTGATTGGGGGGGTTATTGATCACGGGCGAGTGATTGGGGGGGTTATTGATCACGAGGGAGTGATTGGGGGGGTTATTGATCACGAGCGAGTGATTGGGGGGGGTTATTGATCACGAGCGAGTGATTGGGGGGGTTATTGATCACGAGCGAGTGATTGGGGAGGTTATTGATCACGAGTGATTGGGGGGTTATTGATCACGAGTGATTGGGGGTTATCGATCACGAGTGATTGGGGGGGTTATTGATCACGAGTGATTGGGGGGGGTATTGATCACGAGCGAGTGATTGGGGGAGGTTATTGATCACGAGCGAGTGATTGGGGGGGTTATTGATCACGAGCGAGTGATTGGGGGGGGGTTATTGATCACGAGCGAGTGATTGGCGGGGGTTATTGATCACGAGCGAGTGATTGGGGGGGTTATTGATCACGAGGGAGTGATTGGGGGGGTTATTGATCACGAGCGAGTGATTGGGGGGGTTATTGATCACGAGCGAGTGATTGGGAGGGTTATTGATCACGAGAGAGTGATTGGGGGGGGTTATTGATCACGAGCGAGTGATTGGGGGGGTTATTGATCACGAGCGAGTGATTGGGAGGGTTATTGATCACGAGAGAGTGATTGGGGGGGTTATTGATCACGAGCGAGTGATTGGGGGGTTATTGATCACGAGCGAGTGATGGGGGGGGGTTATACTGGTAGGAACGAAGTGGACCAGACCACCAATAGATTAATGTGTCCGTCCGTCCGACCGTCCGTCCGTCCGTCCGTCCGTCCGTCCGTCCGTCCGTCCGTCCGTCCGTCCGTGGGAGGGGTGGTGTTGAGGGTGGTGTTGGAAATGAAAGACTACGAGTCTTTAAATCTCACAGCGTTTCTTGTCAAAACAAACACTTTTAATTAACGTTACACTAGAATACAGTAATTTTGTCTTTAACTCCTCTATACCCGGTCGATATCCCTGTACCGGTACTAAGTATTATTCCTACCAGCCCACCCCGCAGGGTCCTGTTAGTGTAATGTGTTGTGACCCATGAAGACGCACACAACCGTAAGTCTTGGGGGAGGGGTTGGATGTGTGGGATGAGTGAATGAATGAGTGGGTGTTAGTGGGTGGTTGTGTTAGTGGGTGTTAGTGGGTGGGTGGTAGTGGGTGTTAGTGGGTGGTCGTGTTAGTGGGTGTTAGTGGATGAGTGTCTCACCGCTCCCTTCGGGGGTGCACAGTAAGTCGTAGGGGTCCACTTCCCCTTCATTCCCGGACCACGGAGAACGGCTCTCGGGGGTCTTTGCCACATGGGCCGATGTCTCGCCGCGGGCGGCCAAAGAGCTGCTCAACGTGCCTGCACAATAACAAGAAGGGGTGGGTTTATGGAGGCAATCTCTACACTGAGACACCACTCCCACTAACGAAGGTACGGTCATCTTCGAGCTGTGCATGTAGAACTGGGCGAGTGGGTGGGTGAGGGAATTTAGTAGGTGGGTGAGTAGGTGGGTGGGTGAGTGACAGGGTGGATGGGTGGGTGAGAGGGTGGTTGTGCGAGTGGGTGGGTGTGTGTGTGAGCGGCTGAATGTGTGAGTGTTGTCTGTCTGTGTAGGGAGCGGGAGTGCAGTAGTGGCTGCTGCGCTGCAAACCCGGGGACCCAAGTTCGAATCCCGCTCAGACCCACCCAGCACCGGTTTATAATCGTCACTGGTGTTGGCCACGAGTAGGAATCAAACTCGGATCGTCGGGTTCCAAGGGCAGCACGCTAACCGATACGATACTACCACTGCCCACACTGTGCCAACACACACATGAGCATGCACCTCCACCTACCTCCCACACTCCTGCGTGTCCTCCCTACAGCCACCAGCGCTGAAACTTCCTTCGCTGTCCGGACCGCTGGGGCACTCCTCCTCCTCCTGCCCCTTCCTCGCCGCTCCACCGTAGACCCACCACCATCACCGCCACCATCACCGCCACCACCATCACCACCGACACCAACTGCCGTCTCCTGGGCGTCATCACCATTGTCGTCATCACCATCGCCACGGTCGTTGTCACGGTTTTGCCGCAGAGTCGGGACGGGCGACGGGGTCTCCACCACGGACACGGAGAAACGGCCAGACACGCGAACGGGGGTGCGGGTTGAGGTTTCCATCTTGGTTGAGGACAGCTTTGGTGAGGCCCTCTCAGGAATTAGAGAAGCCGCCGTTGGCGAAGAGAGCTCAGGAGAAGCCATCACCGCCACAGACGAGGGGGTTCGAGTGAGAGAATCCATCTTGGGCGAGGCTCCAGGAGAATCCATCTTGATCGAGGTTCTAGGAGAAGCCATCTTGGGCGAGGCTCCAGGAGAAACCATCTTGATCGAGGTTCTAGGAGAATCCATCTTGGGTGAGGCTTCAGGAGAAGCCATCTTGGGCGAGGCACTAGGAGAAGCCATCTTGGGCGAGGCTCTCGGAGAAGCCATCTTGGGTGAGGCTTCAGGAGAAACCAACTTGATCGAGGCACTAGGAGAAGCCATCTTGGGCAAGGCTCTCGGAGAAGCCATCTTGGGTGAGGCTTCAGGAGAAGCCATTTTGTGCAAGGCTCCAGGAGAAGCCATCTTGGGCAAGGCTCCAAGAGAATCCATCTTGGGCGAGGCTCTAGGAGAAGCCATCTTGGGCGAGGCTCTCAGAGAAGCCATCTTGGGCGAGGCTCTCGGAGAAGCCATCTTGGGCGAGGCTCTCGGAGAAGCCATCTTGGGCGAGGCTCTCGGAGAAGCCATCTTGGGCGAGGCTCTCAGAGAAGCCATCTTGGGCGAGGCTCTCGGAGAAGCCATCTTGGGCGAGGCTCTCAGAGAAGCCATCTTGGGCGAGGCTCTCGGAGAAGCCATCTTGGGCGAGGCTCTCGGAGAAGCCATCTTGGGCGAGGCTCGAGGAGAAGCCATCTTGGGCGAGGCTCTCGGAGAAGCCATCTTGGGCGAGGCTCTCGGAGAAGCCATCTTGGGCGAGGCTCTCGGAGAAGCCATCTTGGGCGAGGCTCTCGGAGAAGCCATCTTGGGCGAGGCTCTCAGAGAAGCCATCTTGGGCGAGGCTCTCGGAGAAGCCATCTTGGGCGAGGCTCTCGGAGAAGCCATCTTGGGCGAGGCTCTCGGAGAAGCCATCTTGGGCGAGGCACTAGGAGAAGCCATCTTGGGCAAGGCTCTCAGAGAAGCCATCTTGGGCGAGGCTCTCGGAGAAGCCATCTTGGACGAGGCTCTCGGAGAAGCCATCTTGGGTGAGGCTCTCGGAGAAGCCATCTTGGGCGAGGCTCTCAGAGAAGCCATCTTGGGCGAGGATCTAGAAGCCATCTTGGGCGAGGCTCTCGGAGAAGCCATCTTGGGCGAGGCTCGAGGAGAAGCCATCTTGGACGAGGATCTAGAAGCCATCTTGGGCGAGGCTCTCGGAGAAGCCATCTTGGGCGAGGCTCGAGGAGAAGCCATCTTGGGCGAGGATCTAGAAGCCATCTTGGGCGAGGCTCTCGGAGAAGCCATCTTGGGCGAGGCTCGAGGAGAAGCCATCTTGGGCGAGGCTCCAGGAGAAACCATCTTGGGCGAGGCTCCAGGAGAAACCATCTTGGGTGAGGCTCCAAGAGAATCCATCTTGGGCGAGGCTCTCAGAGAAGCCATCTTGGGCGAGGCTCCAGGAGAAGCCATCTTGGGCGAGGCTCTCGGAGAAGACTTCTTGCGCGAGGTCACTTTGAAAGGGAACAGCTTTTTGGAGGTAGACACAGACCTCTTGTGTGAACACAACTCATCATCCCCCTCCTCCTGTAGTCGCAGCACAAAAGGGAGAGAAGAATGAATGAGGTTAGTGAATTAATCGGTAGAATAATGCTACCGAAGTGTGAACGTAGCAGAGAAAGTGCATATACCAGGAGAAAAGTTTATCGCAGCCACCACCTCCACCACAGAGGTCGCAATTGGGTACCCGATACCCGTACCCTACCCGATACCCGGCCGGGTACGGGTAGGCAGTGAGTCACTGGTGAGTCACCGTTTGTCACTAATTTCCCAACGTCTTGTCTCTTCTCACAATTCAAGATCCTAGAATCAACCCACCAGCGCCTGCAACATGGCTTCATCCCAGAGGTCGCAATTGGGTACCCGATACCCGTACCCTACCCGTACCCGGCCGGGTACGGGTAGCCGGGTATCGGGTAGGGTACGGGTACCCGTTTGCGACCCTGGTGCGGCCGGGTACGGGTAAGGAATCAAAACCCGTTTGCGACCTCTGCTCCACCATCAACACCACCACCACCACCACAACTCATCGTCACCACCACCTCCGTCACCACCACCACCACACACCCCCCGGAGCTCACTTGGATGACACCGCAGGCCGGCGTGGACACACGGGCCCTGGGGGTCCTGGCGGGCGACGCTCCCCTTCTGAGCGGCGTGGAGGGTGGCAGTGTCTTGTCAAAGAGCTCGGGGCTCAGCTGGATACCAAACGACACCACCCTGCCCTTCCTGCCCTTCCTGCCCTTCTTGAGCTTGCGGGGGGGCAGAAGGAATGACAAGGGAGAGGCACCAGCAGAAGAAGGGGCGACAGCCCCCTTCTTGCCCTCTTCCTCCTCCTCCACCTCCTCCTCCTCCACATCATCATCCTCCTTCCACTCCTCCTCCTCCTCCTCCTCCACCTCCTCCTCCTCCTCCTCCTCCACCACCACCACCACCTCCTCCTCCTCCTCCTCCAAAGACTTTCGCTTCCGGATGGAAACTGCGGAGAAAAGGTGGGGGGGGGGGGTCGAGGTGTCAGGTGGTAAATCTCAAAGACAGCGCTGAATCTCAAAGGACTCTCTTTCACCCGGTTAAATAAAGGTCGTCAGTCGGACACGCACACAAGACACGGACAACATCCCCCCCACCCATACCTCTCCGTGTCCCCGCGTCTCTTCCCACCCCTTCCTTCTGCTGCTGCTCCTCTGCCTCCTTTGTCACCACCTCCTCCTCCTTCTCTACCACCTCCACCACCACCTCCTCCTCCTTCTCTACCACCTCCACCACCACCTCCTCCTTCTCCACATCATCATCCTCCACCTCCTCCTCCTCCTCCACCTCCTCATCATCCTCCTCCTCCACCTCCTCCTTCTCCTCCACCACCACCACAACCTCCTCCAACGACTTTCGATTCCGGATGGAGACTGCGGAGAAAAGGTGGGAAGGGGGGGGGGGGAGGTCGAGGTGTCAGGTGGTGGGCGTGGTGGACAAGTGGACGGACAGCGTTGGTCCAGAGAGGCGAGAGAGAGCGGGTAGAAGATTCCACTGCGACGTGGCAGGGTGACGGTACAGATTCGCAACCATGATGACGGACGTCAGACGGACACAACGCCACGTCGCAACAGAAAACACGAACATTCCCCACCCCCCATCCATACCTCTACGTGTCCCCGCATCTCTTTCCACCCCTTCCTTCTGCTGCTGCTCCTCCTCCTCCTCCACCCCCTCCACATCATCCTCCTCCTCCTCCACCACCTCCTTCTCCAAAGACTTTCGCTTCCGGATGGAGACTGCAGAGAAAAGGTGAGGGGGGGGGGGTCGAGGTGTCAGGTGGTGAATCTCAAAGACAGCGCTGAATTTTAAAGGACTCTCTTTCACCCGGTTAAATAAAGGCCGTCAGGCGTTCATGCACACAAGACACGGACAACATTCCCCCCCCACCCCCATCCATACCTCTCCGTGTCCCCGCGTCTCTTCCCACCCCTTCCTTCTGCTGCTCCTCCTTCGTCACCACCGCGTCCTCCTTCTCTACCACCTCCACCTCCTCCTCCTCCTTCTCCGCATCATCATCCTCCACCTCCTCCTCCACCACCTCCACCACCTCCTCCTCCTCCTTCTCCTTCACCACCTCCTCCTCCTCCAGCACCACCACCTCCAACGACTTTCGCTTCCGGATGGAGACTGCGGAGAAAAGGTGGTGAGAAGGGGGGTGGTTGAGGTGTCAGGTGGTGGGCGTGGTGGACAAGTGGACGGAGAGCGTTGGTCCAGAGAGGCGAGAGAGAACGGGCAGAAGATTCCACTGTGACGTGGCAGGGTGACGGTACAGGTTCGGAATCACGATGACGGACGTCAGACGGACACAACGCCACGTCGCAACAGAAGACATGAACAAAATCCCCCCCCCCGTCCCCTCCATCCATACCTCTCCGTGTCGCCGCGTCTCTTCCCACCCCTTCCTTCTGCTGCTGCTCCTCTGCCTCCTTCGTCACCACCTCCTCCTCCACGTCATCATCATCATCATCCTCCTCCACCTCCTCATCATCCTCCACCTCCTCCTTCTCCTCCACCACCACCACCACCTCCTCCTCCAATGACTTTCGCTTCCGGATGGAGACTGCGGAGAAAAGGTGGTGAGAAGGGGGGTGGTTGAGGTGTCAGGTGGTGGGCATGGTGGACAAGTGGACGGAGAGCGTTGGTCCAGAGAGGCGAGAGAGAGCGGGCAGAAGATTCCACTGTGACGTGGCAGGGTGACGGTACAGATTCGCAACCATGATGACGGACATCAGACGGACACAACGCCACGTCGCAACAGAAGACACGAACATTCCCCACCCCCCATCCATACCTCTCCGTGTCCTCGCATCTCTTTCCACCCCTTCCTTCTGCTGCTGCTCCTCCTCCTCCAGCCCCTCCACATCATCCTCCTCCTCCTCCTCCTCCACCACCTCCTTCTCCAAAGACTTTCGCTTCCGGATGGAGACTGCGGAGAAAAGGTGGGGGGGGGGGGTCGAGGTGTCAGGTGGTGAATCTCAAAGACAGCGCTGAATTTCAAAGGACTCTCTTTCACCCGGTTAAATAAAGGCCGTCAGGCGGACACGCACACAAGACACGGACAACATTCCCCCCCCACCCCCATCCATACCTCTCCGTGTCCCCGCGTCTCTTCCCACCCCTTCCCTCTGCTGCTGCTCCTCCTTCGTCACCACCTCGTCCTCCTTCTCTACCACCTCCACCACCACCACCTCCTCCTCCTTCTCCGCATCATCATCCGTCACCTGCTCCTCCACCACCTCCACCACCTCCTCCTTCTCCACCACATCCTCCTCCTCCACCACCTCCTCCTTCTCCTCCTCCACCACCACGATCACCACCTCCTCCAACGACTTTCGCTTCCGCATGGAGACTGCGGAGAAAAGGTGGAGGGGGGTGGAGGTGTTAGGTGGTGGGCGTGGTGGACAAGTGGATGGAGAGCGTTGGCCGGAAGAGGCGAGAGAGAACGGGCAAAAGATTCCACTGTGGCGTGGCAGGGTGACGGTACAGATTCTGAACCATGACCAAGGATATCAGACGGGACACAACGCCACGTCGCAACAGAAGACACCCCCACCCCCCACCCATACCTCTCCGTGCCCCCGCGTCTCTTCCCATCTCTTCCTTCTGCTGCTGCTCCTCTGCCTCCTCCTCCTTCGTCACCGCCTCGTCCTCCTCCACCACCTCCGACTTCCGCTTCCGGATGGAGACTGTGGAGAAAAGGTGGTAGGGGGGGTGGGGGGGTCGAGGTGTCAGGTGGTGGGCGTGGTGGACAAGTGGACTGAGAGCGTTGGTCCGGGGAGGCGAGAGCAGAGGTCGGAAACGGGTTTTGATTCAATACCCGTACCCGTACCCTACCCGTACCCTACCCGTACCCTACCCGTACCCTAACCGTACCCTACCCGTACCCGTACCCTACCCGTACCCTAACCGTACCCTAACCGTACCCTACCCGTACCCTAACCGTACCCTACCCGTACCCGGCTGGGTACGGGTAGGGTATCGGGTACCCGATTGCGACCTCTGGGATGAAGCCTTGTTGCTGGTGGGTTGATTCTAGGAACTTGAATTGTGAGAAGAGACAAGACGTTGGGAAATGAGTAACAAACGGTGACTCACCATTGACCCACGGCCTACCCGTACCCGGCCGCACCAGGGTCGCAAACGGCTACCCGTACCCGGCCGGGTACGGGTAGCCGGGTATTGGGTAGGGTACGGGGGTATCGGGTACCCGGTTGCGACCTCTGGGCGAGAGAGAGCGGGCAGGAATTATCACGGTGGCGTGACAGGGTGACGGTACAGGTTGGGAATCACGATGACGGACATCAGACGGACACAACGACACGTCGCAACAAAAGACACGAACAAAATTCCCCCCCACCCCCTCCATCCATACCTCTCCGTGTCCCCGCGTCTCTTCCCACCCCTTCCTTCTGCTGCTGCTCCTCTGCTTCCTTCGTCACCTCCTCCTCCTCTACCACCTCCACCTCTGACGTCCGCTTCCGAGTGGAGACTGCGCAGAAAAGGGGAGTGTGGGTCAGGTCGAGGTGTCGGGGGTCGGGTGGTGAATCTCAAAGGACTCTCTTTCACCCGGTTAAATAAAGGCCGTCAGGCGTTCATGCCCACAAGACACGGACCTAATTCCATACCTCTCCGTGCCCCCGCGTCTCTTCCCGCCACTTCCTTCAGCTGCTGCTCCTCTGCCTCCTTCGTCACCACCTCCTCTGTCACCACTTCCACCTCCTCCTCCGTCAACTCGGCCATGCGGCCCCCCCCAAGCTGCTCCGACCTCCTCATGAGGATGGAGGGCCTGAGGGAGGGGCGGCGGCCGCGGGGACGAGGCACGAGTGGGCTACTCTGGCGGTAGCGGCCTCGCGAGAACGCCGGAGCCTGCCGAAAAGGAGGAAAGGGGGGGGGGGGCGGTGGTAAAGGAGGAGGATGTCAACGCATCGTTCGTGTCGACTAGGGTAGTCGTCTATTTGTTTTACACGTTACGTACAGCTGCAGAGACGACAACTACTTCCAAATTCATTTCGATTTAAAGCTTTCGTGACTGCAGAGATTCATCTTCTTGGTTCTTTCGGTAAAGTCACGTAGAAGGGAAGTAATAAAATAATAAAAATAAAACATAATAAAATAATTCTCACGACGTTTCGGCCACATAGCCAACGCACCTGAGGACGGCTGCTTGCGTTGTGGCCAAAACGTCGTGAGAATTATTATATTATTATGCTTTATTTTTATTATTTTATTACGTCCCTTCTACGTGACTTTACCGAAAGAACCAAGAAGATGAATCCCTGCAGTCAGGAAAGCTTTAAAAGGGTAGTGTATGTCGTGTAGTGTATAGTGTAGTTTATATAGCATCTGAACGCGCGTGATGCCGTGACCCGTCTTTGTTCCATGGCTCAGCCAAAGCTGCTGCTGCTGTGATAATGACAGGAATGCGTGTTATGATGGTTTATATATTCCTTCACAAGATCTCAGCCAAGGTGATATTGTTGTGGTTCATTTGTAGCAAGCACTTTGTGTGTGTAATGAGTGCGACCCTTGTTATGAGCAGAGTAGTGGAGTAGAGTATCATCAGTATCCTTTGATTCTTTCGGTAAAGTCACGTAGGTATAAAATAAAATAAATCACGTTTCGGGCACAACACAAGCGTCCGTCATCAGGTGGGACAACCACAGCAAGAAAAGGGCTGCCGTGACAAGAGGCTATAAAGGCAGCAAACGTCGTGATTTATTTTATTTTCGACCTACGTGACTTTACCGAAAAAACCAAAGAGTATGGATCCCTGCAGTCACGAAAACTTAAAATCAAGATTAGAGTATCATCGTCTCTGTGATGTCTTCTTCGTATATTTGTGATGATGCCTCCTTCAAACCCTGAAGATGCCTGCTGCTGTATATTTGGAGTCTGCGTCTCTATCTCTCTCATCATCATCATCACCACGGTAGCTAGGTAGATGTTAACTACCTCACCCAGTATACAGGCGGCAGTGGGTTCGATCCCACCCCTGACGCCTTGCTGTATATGTGGAGTCTGCGTCTCTCTCTCTCCCCCCGTGGTGAGATGTTATCTCCCTCGCCTGCTATGGAGGATGTTGTGGGTTCGATCCCGACATTGATGCTGCAATGGCAAAGGCTTCATCACCTATTCCTATTTTTGTTCTTGGGATAGTTAAAAGGCTTAGATGGATGTCCTACAGTTTCTTGGATTTGATAATGGGGTGAATGAATTAGCTAAGTATCGCACAGATTAGCCAATAATCATTATTATGGGTGCACAGGGCCCCAATGTAGATTTTTTGTCTTTCTTCAAGTGATGTGAGATTGAATTTTAAGTAGGGGTCGCAATGGTGGGTCACGTATCCGCCACCCACCATTCACCCCACCACCCACACCACCACACCACCCACACCATCACACTACCCACACCACCCACACCACCACACCACCCACACTATCACACCACCCACCGTGTTCACTAAGCGCGCTGCGTGGCAGATGGCTGCGTTTGTCTCTGGGGTGCCGCGAGCACCCACAGAGGAACGGCGACGCCCCGTAGGAGATGTCCAGGCAGGCCTTGCATCTAAGGTGGGGGGGGAGGAGGTATTAGTGGGGGTGTGTGGGGGACACACGGCCATTGTGAGCCCAAAATGAGATACTCGGACACAAGCAATGAACAGTGAATCCAGCACCTCAAGTGTCTCCGAAACGGCCAACATGAACCCAGAGAGAGAAACACTCAGACCTAAACAAAGAACAGTAAATTCAGCGCCTCAGTGTCTCCGACACGGCCAGCATGAACAGTGAATTCAGGACCGCAATGTCTCCAACACACCCATCATGAACCCAGAGTGAATCCAGGACCTGTGTCTGTGACACAGTCATTATGGACCCAGAGAGTGAATCCAGGACCTCAGTGTCTCCGACATGGCCAGCATGAACACAGTGATTCAGGACCGCAGTGTCTCCGACACACCCATCATGAACCCAGAGTGAACCCAGGACCTGTGTCTGTGACACAACCATTATGGACCCAGAGAGTGAATCCAGGACCTCAGTGTCTCCTACACAGCCATCATGAACCCAGAGTGAATCCAGGACCTCAGTGTCTCCTACACACCCATCATGAACCCAGAGTGAATCCAGGACCTCAGTGTCTCCTACACAGCCATCATGAACCCAGAGTGAATCCAGGACCTCAGTGTCTCCTACACAGCCATCATGAACCCAGAGTGAATCCAGGACCTCAGTGTCTCCTACACAGCCATCATGAACCCAGAGTGAATCCAGGACCTCAGTGTCTCCTACACAGCCATCATGAACCCAGAGTGAATCCAGGACCTCAGTGTCTCCTACACACCCATCATGAACCCAGAGTGAATCCAGGACCTCAGTGTCTCCTACACAGCCATCATGAACCCAGAGTGAATCCAGGACCTCAGTGTCTCCTACACAGCCATCATGAACCCAGAGTGAATCCAGGACCTCAGTGTCTCCTACACAGCCATCATGAACCCAGAGTGAATCCAGGACCTCAGTGTCTCCTACACACCAGAGGTGGGACAAAGTCATTGTTATGCAAGTCCAAGTCGAGTCTGAAGTCATCAAATTCATGACTCGAGTCTGACTCGAGTCCAAGTCACATGACTCGAGTCCACACCTCAGAGGTGGGACAAAGTCATTGTTATGCAAGTCCAAGTCGAGTCTGAAGTCATCAAATTCATGACTCGAGTCTGACTCGAGTCCAAGTCACATGACTCGAGTCCACACCTCTGCTACACACCCATCATGAACCCAGAGTGAATCCAGGACCTCAGTGTCTCCTACACAGCCATCATGAACCCAGAGTGAATCCAGGACCTCATTGTCTCCTACACAGCCATGAACCCACTGAGAGACACTCAGACCTAAATAACGAAGAGAGAATGCAGGACCCCCGTGTCTCTAACACAGCTATCATGAAACCACACAGAGTGAATCCAGCACCCGCCACAAACACGGCCATCATGAACCCACAGAAAGTGAACTCACCGCAGTCGGACGTAGCAGGGCCGTCAGTCTCCACCCCCGCCGTGGTCTTCTTCCTGCCGTCCTTGACGAGGGGAAAGGGGGACGACTCCCCCGGGCTCTTGTCCACCCCGTCCCGCGCAAGGGGAACGTTCTCCTTGGAGGCGCGGGCAGGCGAGCTGCTGCTAAGCAGCAGCACGCTCCTCACGGATCCCACCTCTAAGAGGTGGCGGCCGACGAGGGGTGACAACGACGACGAACATAGCAGCAGCGCGGCCTTGGCATCGGCCTTGGCATCGGCCTTGGCATCGGTCTTGGCGGTGCCGGAGGAGGGTGACTTAGAGGCCGGGTCGACCTCGGGACGGGGGGGCGGCCGCTGGCCCGAAAGGTCCACCTCGCGGAGGGGCGACTTCGACGCGAGGGTGATGTTCCTAAGGGACGTCTCATCAATGGACGAATTCTGCAGGTCTGCTGCATCTTCAATGCACGACTTCTGAAGGTCTGTCTCATCAATGGACTTCTGCTGTAGGTCTACTGCGTCTTCAATGGATGACTTCTGCAGATCTACCTCATCAATGGACGACTGCTGTAGGTATAATGTGTCTTCAATGGACGACTTCTGTAGGTCTACTGTGTCTTCAATGGACGACTTATGTAGGTCTGTCTCCTCCATGGATGACGTCTGCAGATCTACCTCATCAATGGACTTCTGCTGTAGGTCTACTGTGTCTTTAATGATTGACTTCTGTAGGTCTACTGTGTCTTCAATGGACTTCTGCTGTAGGTCTACTGCGTCTTCAATGGATGACTTCTGCAGATCTACCTCATCAATGGACGACTTCTGTAGGTCTACTGTGTCTTCAATGGACGACTTATGTAGGTCTGTCTCCTCCATGGATGACGTCTGCAGATCTACCTCATCAATGGACGACTTCTGTAGGTCTACTGTGTCTTCAATGGACGACTTATGTAGGTCTGTCTCATCCATGGATGACGTCTGCAGGTCTGCCTCATCAATGGACGACTTCTGTAGGTTTGATTCATCTTGAATGGACGTCTGCAGGTCTGTATCATCAATGGATGATTTCTGTAGGTCAGCCTCATCAATGGACGACTTCTGTAGGTTTGATTCATCTTGAAAGGACGTCTGCAGGTCTGCCTCATTAATGGATTTCTGTCGGTCGGTCTCATCAATGGACGGATCCTGCAGGTCTGCATCTTCAATGGACGTCTGTAAGTCTGCCTCATCAATGGACGACTTCTGCTTGTCTGCTGCATCATCAACAAACTTCTGGAAGTCTACCTCATCAATGGATGACTTCTGCAGGTCTGCCTCATCAATGGACGACTTCTGCAAGTTTGCATCTTCAATGTACGATGTATGTAGGTCTTCCTCATCAATGGCCGACTTCTGAAGGTCTGCCTCATCAATGGATGAATTATGTAGGTCTCCATCTTCAATGGACGACTTTTGCAGGTCTGCTGCGTCATCAATGGCCGACTTCTGAAGGTCTGCCTCATCAATGGATGAATTATGTAGGTCTCCATCTTCAATGGACGACTTTTGCAGGTCTGCCTCATCAATGAACGACTTTTGCAGGTCTGCTGCGTCATCAATGGCCGACTTCTGAAGGTCTGCCTCATCAATGGGTGAATTCTGTAGGTCTCCATCTTCAATGGACGACTTCTGCAGGTCTGCCTCATCAATGGACGACTTCTGCAGGTCTGCTGCGTCATCTATGGACGACTTCTGCAGGTCTGCTGCGTCATCAATGGACGACTTCTGAAGGTCTGCCTCATCAATGGATGAATTCTGTAGGTCTCCATCTTCAATGGACGACTTCTGCAGGTCTGCCTCATCAATGGACGACTTCTGCAGGTCTGCCTCATCAATGGATGGCGTCTGCAGGTCCGTATCATCAACAGACGAATTCTGCATATCTGTTTCATCCATGGACGGCTTATCAAGGTCAACCTCCTTGGTGGACAATGCCCATTTGGGTGTCCGCAATGGTGTATTGGCTGTTTGTCTACGTGTCTGCACTGGTGTCATCGCTGTCTGTCTGGGTGTCTGCACTGCAGCCTTAGCTGTCTGTTGGGGTGTCTTCACTGCAGTCTTCGCTGTCTGGTCGGCTATCTGTCCAGGTGTCTTGACTGGAGTCTTAGCTGTCTGGTCGGCTGTCTGTCTGCGTGTGTACACTGGAGTCTTGGCTGTCTGATTGGCTGTCTGTCCGGGTGTTTTCGCTGGAGTCTTGGCTGTCTGGTCGGCTGTCTGCACTGGAATCATAGCTGTCTGGTCGGCTGTCTGTCTGCGTGTGTACACTGGTGTCTTAGCAGTCTGGTCGGCTGTCTGCACTGCAGTCTTGGCTGTCTGTCCGGGTGTCTTCACCGGAGTCTTGGCTGTCTGGTCGGCTGTCTGCACTGCAGTCTTGGCTGTCTGGTCGGCTGTCTGTCTGCGTGTGTACACTGGTGCCTTAGCAGTCTGGTCGGCTGTCTGTCCGGGTGTCTTCACCGGAGCCTTGGCTGTCTGGTCAGCTATTTGTTTGGGTGTCTGCACTGCAGTCTTGGCTGTCTGGTCGGCTGTCTGTCTGCGTGTGTACACTGGGGTCTTAGCTGTCTGGTCGGCTGTCTGTCTGGGTGTCTGCACTAGAGTCTTAGTAGTCTGGTCGGCTGTCTGCACTAGAGTCTTAGCTGTCTGTCCGGGTGTCTTCACTGGAGTCTTAGCAGTCTGGTCGGCTGTCTCTCTGGGTGTCTGTACTGGGGTCTTAGATGTCTGTCTGGGTGTCTGCACTGGAATCATAGCTGTCTGGTCGGCTGTCTGCACTAGAGTCTTAGCTGTCTGGTCGGCTGTCTGTCTGGGTGTCTTCGCTGGTGTCTTGGCTGTCTGGTCGGCTGTCTCTCTGGCTGTCTTTACTGGAGTCTTAGCAGTCTGGTCGGCTGTCTCTCTGGGTGTCTGCACTGGGGTCTTGGATGTCTGTCTGGGTGTCTGCACTGGAATCATAGCTGTCTGGTCGGCTGTCTGTCTGCGTGTGTGCACTGGTGTCTTGGCTGTCTGGTCGGCTGTCTCTCTGGGTATCTTTACTGGTGTCTTAGCAGTCTGGTCGGCTGTCTCTCTGGGTGTCTGCACTGGGGTCTTGGATGTCTGGTCGGCTGTCTGTCTGCGTGTGTACACTGGCGTCTTGGCTGTCTGGTCGGCTGTCTCTCTGGGTATCTTTACTGGTGTCTTAGCAGTTTGGTCGGCTGTCTCTCTGGGTGTCTGCACTGGGGTCTTAGATGTCTGTCTGGGTGTCTGCACTGGAATCATAGCTGTCTGGTCAGCTGTCTGTCTGCGTGTGTGCACTGGTGTCTTGGCTGTCTGGTCAGTTGTCTGTCTGGGTGTTTTCGCTGGAGTCTTAGCTGTCTGGTCAGCTGTCTGCACAGCAGTCTTGGCTGTCTGGTCGGCTGTCTCTGCGATTAAAGTATCAGCCTCAACCGTGGAACTGGTAGAGATGGCGGCAGTCAATGCTGTAACATACACACACGCGCGACGGTGTTAGAGAGTCCAGAAACACTCCCACTCATGCTCGTACAAGCACTTGCGCTCACTGAAACATCACACACAAGCTCACTCTTGTACACAAAGATCCCCTGGATAGCCTCTCAAAAAGACTGTTGGGGCCAGTGCTGTTAGAGCGCGTAGCACCAATGAAGGCCTGGCACTGTGGCACACGAGGTGGTGGGTGGCCAACAACACACCCCCAGTGACGATGTTTACGACACACCGCACCAACTCTGGTTGCCGGGTTCGTAGCGTACCACTAACCACTACTGCCACGCACAGAGAGACACTCACACACACCCTCTTCTAAATCACCCACTCACCTAAACCACTCTCTCACTCACCCACCCCAGCCACACCCATTCATGCTGTCCTTACACCGGGTTCTTACCATCGTCAGGTGGTACGGGCCCAGTAGCAGCTGGTGGTGCAGCAGAAGCAGCTGCCGGTGCAGCAGAAGCAGCATCTGCAGAAGCAGCGGCATCCGGAGGCAGCTCAAACCTGCAGCAGCAGCAGCAGCAGCAGGGCCAGTGAACCACTCCGTAAACCAAAAACACACAAAACTCAACCTTATTGTGGTCGGCACCATTACTCGTCCAGAATGTCGTTTTGATCTCCACGTGGCAAAAATAATATGCAGGACCTGCCGACTTTTTCATATCGGGGGCTTCTCCTACTACGACACATTGAGCCCACTGTCACTGTACACTATATTATACTCTACTATACATTGCACTACTATATGCTACACTACACTACTATATACTACACTACTATGCTCCTATACATTATACTACACTATACAATCCACTACCACATTACTATACACTACACCGTATACTACTACACACTACACTTCTATACACTACACCTACAGTAAGGTATCAAGAGTACGCAGGGGTTAGGTTCCGTGTACCCCCGCGTAAGTGTGAATTTGCTTAAGTTGGGGTTCACTGATACGAGCGTAACATATACAATGTATACTCTTAGGTTTTTTCGGTAAAGTCACGTAGGTAAAAAATAACTAAAATAATAATAGAAATAAAATAAGAATAGAAATAAATTAATAAATATTTTTTTTTTTATTACTTTCAGTAATTTTTTATTTTATTTTTTACCTACGTGAATTTACCAAAAAACCTAAGAGTATGAATTCTTGCAGTCACGAAAGCTTCAAATCTAGAAATATACGATGTATATTACACCATCTACTACTATCTATAAAAATGAGATATTAAATATTGCATTTTCAATAAAAGTTGCAGAAGAAAAATATTAAATAGATGTGGATATCTACATAAAATGATATTATAAACACACTATCCTAAATATACAGCACCATATTTTAACACTAAAGCAGTCACTGACTCGCAGCAACTTGCAATCATAAGTGACAGAGTTAATTTTTAGTAATTTTTAATTTTAGTTTTTACCTACGTGAATTTACCAAAAAACCTAAGAGTATGAATTCTTGCAGTCACGAAAGCTTCAAATCTAGAAATATACAATGTATATTACACTATGTACTACTATCTATAAAAATGAGATATTAAATATTGCATTTTCAATTAAAGTTGCAGAAGAAAAATATGAAATAGATGTGGATATCTACATAAAATGATATTATAAACACACTATCCTAAAAATACAGCACCATATTTTAACACTAAAGCAGTCACTGACTCGCAACAACTTGCAATCATAAGTGAGAGTTAATTTCGGGTAAAAATCTATGAAAATGGGGTATGCCGATAGCAATACCCTACTATACACTACACTACTATACACTACTCTACCCTACTATACACTTCACTATAATACCCGACTATACACTACACTACTATAAACTACTATACACTACTATAAACTACTATACACTACACTATACACTACTATACCCTACCATACACTACTATAAACGACTATACACTACATTACTATAAACTACTACACACTATGATAATTGGTTTTTTACCCTTCTATCTGGCAACAAAACTGACACCTTTTACAAAGAGTCATGTTTGTATAGACCGCAATACCTGCAGTCATAATACAAACAAAAGACATAACTCTGATAATGTGCGCCTTTTGGCGTCATCTGGTCCAACCCATGTGAGACTAGGCTCTAAGGAAAGCTGTCTCGGGTGTGGACCAATCAACTTCAAGGACAGTGCACATTATTAGAGTTATGTCTTTTGTTTGTATTATTATGTATTATGACTGCAGGTATTGCGGTCTATACAAACATGACTCCTTGTAAAAAGGTGTCAGTTTTGTTGCCAGATAGAAGGGTAAAAAACCAATTATCATATTTTTACTGGCAAATGAGGTTCCCATAGTGTACTATACACTACACTACTCTACCCTACCATACACTACTATAAACGACTATACACTACACTACTATACACTTCACTATACACTACTACACACTACACTATTATAAACTACTATACACTACACCAGGGGTCCTCAAACTTTTTAAACAGGGGGCCAGTTCACTGTCCCTCAGACCGTTGGAGGGCCGGACTATAGTTAAAAAAAAACTATGAACAAATTCCTATGCACACTGCATATATCTTATTTTGAAGTGAAGAAACAAAAGGGAACAAATACAATATTTAAAATGAAGAACAAGTAAAGTTAAATCAATAAACTTGCCAGTATTTCAATGGGAACTATGGGCCTGCTTTTGGCTAATGAGATGGTCAATGTCCGGTTCCATATTTGTCACTGCTAGTCGTAACAAGTGATGCAAGTGTGCATCCGTTAGTCTAGATCTGGTTGGAGATTTCAAATGTTTCATTCTGGAAAAAGTCTGTTCACAGACATAAGTGCTGCCAAAGATGGTTGCCATTTTGAGTGCATGGTTCCTGAGATGAGGATATGTCTCAGAAGGGAGAGATGCATATAAATTATGAAGGCTGCTTGACTTGAATGCATCTTTCAGGGAGTCACAATTCTGCAGTTCAGCCAGTTCCATTTGGTAAATTGTATCCACATTTTCAATGTCAATAGAAAATGGGTTACGGAAAAGCTGTATGTCCTGTTCATGGAGATGAAGCTCTTTAAATCCAAATTGGAACTCCTTTTGCAATTTTTCCAGTGAATCCACACGTTTTGTTTGGGAATGCAACCAATGGTTTTTCCACTAACAGATTTTGAGTTGTGGGGAGATGGCAGAAGTTTTCCTCCTTCACTTGTTTGATGAGGCCTAATATTACTTCAAATGCTTTGACATGTGATTGCATATCACAGATGAGCTTCCCCTTTCCTTGAAGTTGCACATTGAAACTGTTGAGTAGCTCTGTTACATCTGTCAGAAAGGCAAGGTGGCATTTCCATTCTGCATCATTGAGCTCTGGTACTTCTTTGTTTTTTTAAAGCAGAAAAGCTGTAAT